GTTTATTTGAGGATATTGGTTTTTCAAGAAATGGGGCAGAATATGAATTTTGGAGAGTCATGTCACAGTTCTCCAGAGAAACAGAATCAACAAGAAACTATATAGATATAGTCACAGATGAGATTTATTATGGAAATTAGATCATGTGACAATAGAGGCTAAGAAGTACTATTATCTGCCATCTTTAAGCTACAGATCTAGGGAAGCTGCTGGTGCAATTTCTGGTACAAGTCTGAAAACCTGAGAAAGACAGGGGAATTCCCAGCCTGAGAACTGGGAGCATCAATGTATGAGAGTAGGAGATGGATGTTCCAGACCGAGAAGAGAAAGAAAATTCACCCTTGTTTGGGCCTTTGGTTCTATCAGGGCCCTTGATGAATTGGATGAGGCCTGCCCACACTGGTGAGAGTGATTTTGTTTTCTCAGAACAGTGATTCAAATACTAGTCTCGTCTGGAAACACCTTTATAGACATAATAGAAATAATGTTTTTCAGCTACCCTTAGCTTAGTTGACACATAAAACATTATCATAAAACATATTATCATAAACAATCTTGGATTGGAATTCACATTTGTCATTAGTTGTGTAACACTGGATAAGTTATATATATATATAATTGATATTCATAACTTATAATTAATGTTCATCATCCTAGATAATAAAGGCACATTTCTTTTAATATGTTTCCATTTTTTCTATTTCAAAAGAACTCTTTAATCTTCTAAGTATTATGATAAATCTAAGAACTTTAGGGGACTATCTAAGGCTATGATGAATTCAGATTATCATATATTCTACCAGACAACTGGTTTGGATTCTTCCTAAATGTTGGGGTCACAAAAGACCAAACCTAAGCAAAATAAAAACAAATAAAAAAAAACAGAACTGTTGTAGATTAAAATATTAAAGATACATAAAAAATAAATGCAATGTGTGATTGGATAAAAAGAAAGCTATAATCAGCCATCATAATGGCAACTGGGAAACTGAATATGGACTTTGTATTCAATAATATTATAATATCAGTGTTTCATTTATTGGGTGTAATAGTGGTACAATAACTGTTCAGAAGAATACTATCATGGTCTGAATTTTGTGACCCCCACCCTGCAAAATTCATATGTTGAAATACTAACTTCTAAGGTGAGGGTGGTAGGATGTGGGGTTACTGGGATGTGGTTAGGTCATGAAGGCATAGGCCTCATGAATGAATTTAGTGCCCTTACAAAAGAGAACCCAGAGAGGCCCTCACTCCTCTACCATGTGCGGTTACAGTAAAGAGATAGTCACTTATAAACCAGGAAGTAAACCCTCACCAGACACTGAGTCTACCTGCACCTTGATCGTGGACTTCCCAGCCTCCAGAACTGTGAAGAATAACATTCTTTTGTTTATAAGCCTCCAGTTTGTAGTATTTTCCTAGCAGCCCAAACAACCTAAGACAAATGCCCTTCACGTAAGATGGAGGGATAAAGTGACGCAAGGTCAGTCAGCATCTTACTGTTGAATGGCAAACCATTAAAACAGAAAGAAAAAAAGATAAACCAAAACTGGCAAAATTTATCAATTGATGGGTATTGCTGAAGAATATTCAAGCATTATATTATTCTTATAGGTTATTTGTAGTTCTGAAATTATTTTAAAATAATATGTTGTGTTAAAAAAAAAAAAAGGATTCTTTCTGTAAAGAGGGAGTTTCTCTAAGTGCCAATAACTTTCCCCCCAAGAGAGACTGCAGGACCTATTCTACTCAGATTTCTATACCTCCCTATAAATGGCTTTTGACTTTTGCTATGGTTTGAATATGGCTTATCTCCTCAGAAAACATTTCAAAATTAAATCCCTGTTGTGAGATCTAAGAGTGGAAACTTAAACGACGGTATTTAGAGCTAGACCTTTTGGGGATGATTAGGGTTAGATTATGGTCATCAGGGTGGAAGCCCATGATTGCATATCCACGGCTTTATAAGAAGAGGGAGAAACACACACACACTTCCTGACTCTTGCATACAACACCCTGCATAACTTAGGGTTTTTTCTAGCAAGAAGGCTATTATCAGGGAGCATGGGAGCATGGGAGGAATTGATGAACTCTAGATAGGGCAAAGGGGTGGGAGGGGAAGGGAGTGGGCAGGGGGTTAGCAATGATGGAGGAATGTGATGGACATCATTATCCAAAGTACATGTATGAAGACATGAATTGGTGTGAACATACTTTATACACAGAGATACAAAAAATTGTATTCTATATGTGTAATAAGAATTGTGATGCATCCGCTGTCATGTATTTAAAAAAATAAAAGCATTTTTAAAAAATTAAAAATAAAAAAATAAATTCTCAGCGACTTGGGAAAAAAAAAAAGAAGAAGAAGGCTATTATCAAATGTGGCCCCTCACCTTAAACCAGAACCACAAGCCAAAATAAATCTTTTTTTTTAAACCAACCCAGTTTGTGATGTTGTGTATTTCTAGCAATAGAAAATGGACTAATACAACTTTTCCATAACTAAAGTATTTGGTAGAGGTGAGCTATCATTTCCAAGTACCAAAAAAAAAAAAAAAAAATTTTTTTTTCTTACTCCAGAATAAAGGGAACCTGAGCACCTACATCACCCTGGTAAAAGAACTGCTCAAGAAATTCTTGCTGAATCAAGATCACCTCCACCCTGGGTCCTTGGGGAACACTACCACTAGAAAAAGAAGTTGCTGGTAACTCTTATCACAGTACCTTCTCAAGTGAAAAAATAAGTCAAAAATTTATCCCACCATGGTTTTATTTTGTATTATAAATTCAGGGAAAACCAAATACTATAATAACAATTGTCATTATACACAACAGCATCTAGCCCAGTGCCCAACACATGACACCCTTATTAAACATCAGTCACCTATCCTTATTTGAGCACTGTGTCCTCAGGGACTGATGCTGAACAGTGTTGCTAAAACACCACGTGCTCCCCAGTACATCCTCACGCGTGGTGTGTGTTATTCCCAGGCTAAGTCTATTGTGCTGGCTAAATCAAGAGCACCCCCCACTCCAGAAATGTTCCAATTTGGTGATAAATGATAAGACCACCCTACCTATTGTCATTCCTTCCAGAAAACGTCCTACACTAAGGGCACAAACAGCTCTGCTGGTCTTTCTGAATAATGGTCACCAAAATGTGTTTCAACAGCATCCCTCGAGCTACTGTAACAATAAATACACAAATGGGGAAGGGGGTGTGGCACACAGGTGTGATTCATTTTCACTGTTTCTGCTTCTAGGCCAATTGCACGCTGGAGTTGAAATTTTAGACCACAAAAACAGGATGAAGAAAATATCAATGACTAAACTTGGATATTTGAAGATGTTTATCTAAGTGACCCACATTCTCTGAGACCCGCAGATTATTTCAGTGGTGAAATGAGTCTTCTTAATAATGGCATGTGAGCTCCATCGACAGTGACTGAAGGCTGCTGCAAAGGTAACTCTTACCCTTTTGAGACACCGTGGTATGTAAATATTGACTCACCCCAGCCTCTGTTCTTGAGGTGAACAGATGTAGATGGGATAGAACAAAACTGCTTGCCCAGGTGGGCTCCCCACTGTCATTTCTACTCCCCAAGTTGGAATTCTAGTCAGAAATCACCGCATGTTGACAGACGAAATGCCCCTTCTCCCGGGCCACAGGAATAAATATGGATCAAAGAATGAAATGAACAGAGAAAGGATATGCTTCTAGACTTGCCAACTCACTTTGGATTTGAACTTTTAGTACTTCTAACACATGACTAACATAGCCCATTTAATACAGTCTATAAATATAATCCATTTATATCACATTTCATGTTTCAGATGGAAGTGGTAGGAACTCAGAGGTAAATTCCATCCCACAGGGATCTTAGAAAATAAAGAAAAGCTTCCTTGAAGTGCTTCATATTTTGCTAAAGTAGTTTAATTTTCATTCCCTAATAGAATTAGAAACTATGGTAACTGGGCTTTGTCAGTTCCATTCACTACTATAACCCCATAGCCCTGAATAATTCCTGGCGTATAGTAAATGTTCAATAAAAATGGATAAAATACACTAATAAGTCCTAGGCTGCTTGACCCCAAAATAATGACTTCCTTGATACATTTAATAAATATGTATATTTTTATAATATTTTTCTTATCCTTGATTCATCTTTTTCTTGTTTCCCATTTTAAAAACCAAGATTTTTTTTCCTCATTGATAGCTCTGATTATCACTTCTCTTACCACAACTGTCAAATAATATTGTTTAAAACCTGAGGTGCAGAGCGAGGTGGGGGTGTCTTATAAATGTAAAAGGGAGACCAATATAGGAAGGAGACCAGGGAAGCAGGGAGAGAGAAGAGGAGGGTTACTGGGGAATGAAATTGACTGAAGTATACTGTTATAGGACTATGTGACAGTATATCCCACTGTGACATATCATTGTAATGTACCAATAAAAAGGGGAAAAATCTCTTCACATATGGAACTCTTTAACTAGTGTGTGTGTGTGTGTGTGTGTGTTCAAAAATATTCTCTCTAGGATATAACACTTTTTCTTCCTTCCTTAGAATTATAAAAATAAAAAGGAAAGAACACCATTCCATGTGTCAAAAGCAATATTGATTCATATTACCACCAATACCATCAAGAAAATCTTTTAATATGGGAAGTTGTCAGCTTCAAAGTGTTAGATACTAGTTTTCTAAAATTTTAATTTTTACTTGAAAGCTCAGATTTTTATCACTGGCAGCAAACTCTATAAGTCTCTTAAACAGGCTCACTTTGTTTTCATGAAACAGACTGACAAAAACCCCAAGACTGAATAAGCATCATTTGTCAGATATTCTTTTGAATATCCATGGCAAACAAGGCTAGTTCATCTCACAACTCAATCACATGAGGCTTTCCTTAAGACTCCTGCTATACTTCGGTGTGTAGCACAGATGTTTAATGTATACTCTCAATTTTGTCACACAAAAAAGACATGTACTCAAAGGTTGGGATTTAATAAAATTATTTTTATTGTTTCTTCAAGGATGTTCTTACATAAAACTGGCATTTTCTCCCCCCTGGGATAGACTCATGAAATGAGTTTCCTCTAAATAGAGAATGTTAGATTCATTCCAAGGACTCCTGGGATAATTAATGCCCCTGCATCAAAATCATTACTACCAGTCCCTATCTACACAGTCTTTAAATTTCCTTATCTTCATAATCAGTGTTTTTTAAAAATTATTAAGTTCCTGATAGTAAAATTTTGAATATTCATAATGGCCTATTTGGGCTGGTTGTATAACCTCTGGTGAGCCAGGTTTGATGACGGTCACATTGTGCATGGTAAATAATATAAAGAATAAATTTTTGGCCTAATGCTCAAAATGTCCTTGGAAGCACGGATCAATGTCTAGTTCCGCTCAGTTCAAAAGGTTCAGAGGTAATAACTAAACTGCATATGTCACTATCCCAGGGGAATACAAAGGGGCAAGGATAGATGTCAGAAAGAACTCTCAGGAAGACAACAGGAGGTCTCAGTTCTCACAAATGGCCAGATACCCTGTGGGATACAGCTACACCTCTGACTGACCAGAGGTCTGACTGTTACACCCAATGAGCAATGAGTTTAGAGGACAAAAGTCCTGGAGTCACTCTGCCCCTCCCTACACCTCTGCCCCTTGCCAATCTTCTTAACAAACCCTACCACCAACACCACTGGGTCTAGGAAATTAGGAGGGCCACATTTTAGAATCAGGGAGGTCCCTACAAATTAAAAGTAAGGCTCTACGCATTGTACTCCAGAGTCTCATATCCATCCCTTATGGAGAGCAAAAGAGGGTCCATCTCCCCTTAGAAGGCCAAATAAGGTTTCTCTTCTTTCCACCTTTGATTTTCCATTAATGAGTGAACTGGGTCAAGACCTACAGACCTGGTCATTTTTCTCTCCTTTTTCTTAGTACTAGCATAATGAACTGGCTGGTCCCAAGACTCAGATTGAGAAATGGAAAGATCACAAAAGAGTCTATTTAGGCTTCCGGTCTAAATCAAGCTTTTACCAGAGAGTTCTGCAAAGGGATTGCTCAGATTTACACAACTAATATAAGGAGGCTGTTTTAGTGTCATTACTTGTTGGGAGATGTGTATAAAACTCCATCAAAGATCCAATGGAGGAGGGAGAGAGTCAAAGAATAACCTGGGCATTCTTCAGTCCCTAGTTTTAATACCATCATAAGATCACAAAACCCTACCCAGAGCCCTGCACATCTTTCCTACATCTTATTCACATCAACTATGGTGTCTAGCAGAATGCCTATTTCATAACACTCAATAAATATGTATCAAATAACAAAATAAAGAACAAAAAAGTATCACCCCTGGTAGTATCACTAATTATACCATTTTTCTGGACAAATCTCAGTAGAAATCTTCAAAAACAAAAGGTTGTTTGAAGAAGAGAAAATAAAAATTAAGGGAAAAAAAGTCATGGCTACAGATAGCTATAACCAATACAGCCAGCATTTGTTTAGCTATGTTTGAACATGAGCTTATTTAATCCTCACAATGACCTTAGAGGGAGGCTGGATGTCATTGTAGATGCTAGAAACTCATTTAAAGAAGAGCAAAGTGAAGCTTAGAAAAGCCAAATAACTTGATCAAAATAACAGACAATACAATACAGAGTGGCAACTAAGAATAGGTCTTTCTTACCCCAAAGTCATAGTTTATAATTCTATTTTGAGTTTTTCAAGCATTTTTAACTTTCTGTAATCAGAAGAACTCAACATCTACATTGATAATAGAATTATGAAGGGACAATATTATAGGTACTGAAAAGAAAAATTTTTAAATTTCCTAAGGAAGGATGAGAAGTTTTTAATAAAATATTCAAGATTAAAAAGTTAATCAAAACATAATTAGCACTATTCTTGGTCTGTGAACTTTCAAACTATATACTTTGAAGCTTTTAAGAAAGATACATGAGCTGAGTTGGGTGTAATCCAAGCGGCCTGTAATCCAGGTGGCTCAGGAAGCTGAGAAAGGAGAATCGAGAATTCAAAGCCTACCTCAGCTATGGCAAGGTGCTTAGCAGCTCAGTGAGACCCTGTCTCTAAATAAAATACAAAACAGGGTTGGGGATGAGGCTCACTGGCCAAGTGGCTCTGAGTTCAATTCCCAGTACCCCCACCCAAAAAAAAAAAAAAGAAAGAAAGATGTATGACATGCAGAGTGTACCTATCTTGCTTTAGGGTAATCAACATTGTTCACTAAAAATTAACTCTACACTGATGCTACAGACTGAACTTTTGTGTCCCCCTAAAACTACTATGTTGAAATTCTAATCACGATGTGACAGCATTAGCAAGTGAGGCCCGTGGGAGGTAAGTAGATCATGAAGTGAAGCCCTCATCGATGAGATCAGTGGCCTTGTAAGAGACCTGAGAGCTCACTCACTCATTCGGCCATGTGAGGACAAAGCAAGAAAACAGCCATCTATGAACTATATGGTGGCCTCTTATCAGACTCCAAATCTACCACTACTTTGATCTTGTTATACTTCCCAGCATCCAGAATTGAGAGAAATAAATTTTTGGTGTTTGTAAGTCACCAAGTGTATGGTATTCTATTACAGCAACCCAGAGGGACAAAGACAGAAATGGATATCAGGAGAAGGGGTGCTATTGTACCTAAAAACGTGAAGTGATTTTGGAACTAGGTCTAGTGTAGAGGCTGGAAGAATTCTGAGGCACATGCTGAAAAAAAAGCCTGCATTCCCATGAATGGTGGAAGTGATTCTGGTGAGGGTCCAGAAAGAAAGAACAACCATAGAAAGAGCTTTAGTTTTCTTAGAGAACACCTCAATAATCCTGAACAGAAAGTTGTTTGGAATATGGGCGATAAAGCCATTCTGATAAAGCCTCGTGTGACAATGAGGAATATATTACTGGAAAGTGGAAAAAAAGTGATCCTTGTTATGAAGTGACAAAGGACTTAGCTAAGTCATGTTTGTGTTCCAGAGTTTTATGGAAGGGAGAACTTGTGAATGATGAAATTAGATCCTAGCTGAAGTTATCTCTAAGCAAAATGTTAGAGGTATAACAGGGCTCCTCTGAGTGCTTGCAATGAAACGTGAAAACAAAGACGTGACTTAAAGACAGAATTGTTCAGCAAAAGGAGCAACTTAAAGATTGAGGAAGTTCTCAGTCTATCCTATATCAAAAAATAAATAAATAAAAATAAGAACACGAAGGGTGTGTCCAATGACCACTTTATAAGGAGATTAGTTTGGATCAGATATCTCAACAGAAGCCAGGACCTATTTTCCAAAACAATGGAAGAATGATAGAGCTGCTACTCCTAACAATGACTTAAGGCACAAGCGAGAGTGAGAGGAGCAGAGCAGTTTCAAAGCGACCACCACGGCACCTGAGGGCCTGGGGCCTGTGCTGCTCAGCACCATCTCACCTCACAGCCTTCGCTGTTGCACTCTGGCACCATTCCTCAGCCACCCAGATGCAGCTCCAGTGGCCTTGGAGCCCTGTAGTCCATAGTAGCAGCACACCTCCAGAGGGAGCAGGCAGCAATCAATCTCTCTCTCTCTCTCTCTTTCCTTTTCAAACCCCAGGGGCTCCTTACCATTGAGCTACACCCCCAGGTTTTGTTTGTTTTTTGAGACATAGGGTCTCACTAAGTTGTCAAGGCTGGTCCCAAACTGGTGATCCTCCTGTCTCAGCCTCCTGAGTCGCTGGGATTATAGGTATGGGCCACCCAGATAAGCTATCTTTTATGGAATCCATACAGTACAGTCCGAACTGACCCACAGAGTGCAGAGGATGTGGGGGAGCATAGAAAAGCTACCTCCACCTGAGTTTTAAAGGACAGAGGTACATGGAGCCAAGACTGTATAGCACAGCTCTGTCCTGGGAAAACTGCAGCAGTGGGGGAAGGACTGCTATAGAAAGCTGCTGTGGGGCTGTCTCAAAGCACTGAGGGTGACGTTTCCACCCCAGTGGTCCTGGAGGGAAGAACTCTGAGAGTCAAAAAGTTTTATTTTCAAGCCTTAATGTCTAATGGAATTTCCCCATTAGATTTTGGACTTACCTGGGACATTGTTTCCTCCATCTCTCCCCTTTGAAATGGTAATGTCCATCCTCACCCTTATATTTTGGATGCACAGAATTTATTTGGCTTCACAGCAAAAGAGCAATTCATTTCAGGATAAAAATATATCTTCGTCTATGGTTACCAACATTGTTCATTTATCTTAGTTTCACTCCTTTGATTTAGATGATATTTAGATGAGACTTTGGATCTGAAGACATTTGAGTTGATGCTGAAATACATTAAGACTTTTAAGGCTATTTGGATATATGAATATGTTTTATATGAGAGAAGGATAATTTGGGGGGCTTAGGGGCAAAATGCTATAAATTGAATGTCTGTGTTTCTCCCAAATCCATAGTTGAAATCTTAACCTCTAAGGTAATGATTTTAGGAGGTGAAGGCTTTCAAGGGTGGAGCCACCATGAATGGGACTAATGCCTTTATAAGACAGAGAGCCAGAGAGCTCCCACACACCTTCAATCATGTGAAAGGTCAAAGCAAGATGGCGGCCATATGTGAAAGAGAAAGAGTACCTTCACCAGACACCAAATGTGCTGGCACCTTGATCTCAGGCTTCTCAGCCTCCAGAACTATAAGAAAAAAGTTTATAAGCACCCCAGTTCATGGTGTTCTATTAGAGCAGCCTAGACAGACTAAAATAAATAAATTATGCTAATGAACTGCCATCTTTAGCAGGAATTATGTTCCACCAATGGCTTTTTTTAAATGTATAATATTACCTCAGGCATTTCAAGTTCAGGTTTGTATTGTACTTGGATTCACACAGTGTTCTCTGGATTCTGAGCTGGCTCTCCTATATGTAACATTCAGTGTGTGACTGAAAAAATGATACTCATTTTTTTCTTGTGTCTTTTATTTCTGAAGCGTGCATAGCATACTTATGTGTTCAATCTATTACCATAATGCTAATGACCCCAACTAATATTCTAGATACTATAAATTAGTCTTTCTAGTTACTATAAACTAGTCCTTAATAGCAACAAATAAGCCAGTCACAGCCTTTGGGGTCTGAAATATCTGTACATGATTGAAGGTCAGAGTTGCCTCCATTTTCAGGTGGAGACCAGGAGGCTATTAACTAGTGTTAGGGATCACTGTCACACTAGGTTACGTCTGTATTCCCCAACATTTCTGGAAAGGTTTCTGTCCACCTTGTCATATCACTTTGAAAATTTGTCTTTGAGAACAATCCAAGTGAAATATAATGAAACACTAAACAGAATGCTGTATTGAACAAAGTTTTCAGAGCCATGAGGCATTCCTCACAACAGTGCTATAAGTCAGACCCCTTTCTTAATCATGTTTCACAAATGAAGACAGTAAGGTGAAGATAAAGGTGTGGCATGATGGAATGCACACAGACAATTGTATAAGAATTGTGTAAGATAAGAATCCTGTTACCATGGGGACCACTTTTCACTCCCTAACAGTGATTATCAGATAAGACAGTGTTGTCTCATGAATGAAAATCCTGTTGAAGCAGCACATGCTAAGCAAAAAAATAAAGTCTCAAATCTGTGGGTAGGGACTCAAAGAATCTCAAAGAACCCCTGAGTTATTTTCTTTGAAATACATCCTCTTTTCAAGCCTGTGGATTTCTCTCTTCACCATCCTCTTCCCCAACAAAATCTTTAGACTGCATTGCACAATTTCATTTCACTAAATTTGTTTGGGGATACATAATTCAGAAAACTTTAGGGAGGATTTCACCTAGGAACTCTTCATAAAGAACTAGGATACGACAAGAGTACATGGATTACTGAGGTTTCAGACATGCTAGATATAAGCACTGGATATTTGTTAAGGCATTTGTGGAGAGAACACAAGCTATCATAATATCTTGCCGGAGGCATAAGTCAATTCTCAGTCTTCTCTTTCAAAAAGAACATTACTTCACTCAGTATATAATTTAAAACCTGATCTTTTAACAAATTCTTCCTTTCCAATGTATACTACTTTGATATCATCAGATAAAAAGAGAAATAAAGCTCCCCTATTCCCAATACCACCCAAGAAGTATGCTCCTTCCTGCAAAAAAGGGCACACTTCCTTTGACAGTCACTCTGACCTACTGACTTAGTAAAAGCACTTACTAAATTAAACTTCTTAAATTTTAGTAAATTAAAGAATATTACATAAAAAAAAAATTTCAAAGAATAACCCCATCACTTCTTTGTAGATGCAAAACTAAGGCCCTACTATGCTGGGGGTATAGCTCAGTGGTAAAGTGCTTACCTAGCAGATACAAGGCCATCTCCAGCATCATTAAAAAAAAAATTAAAAAAAAAAAACAGCAGTTCAGGGGTTAAGACAAAAGGATTTCAAGTTCAAGGCAACTTAATGAGACCCTAAACAACTTAGTGAGACCCTGACTCAAAACTAAAAATATAATAATAATAAAAAGTACTAGGGATAGAGTTCAGTGGTAAAGAGCCCCTGGTACTGAATGTAATCTCCAGTACCAAAAACAAACAACAACAACAACAAAAAACACCCCGGAAGCTCACGTAAGTTAACAGATTTGTACAAGATCACATTTAATTATGGCAGACTTGGGTCTGGGAAGAAATTAGTCATAGACACCTTCTCCCACCCAGCAAAGTGACCTTCACCTGCTGGTGCCACAAGCAGAGAGAACACTGTATAAGAATGACACAGCTCACTGCTGGGCACATCAAGGGCACTGGCCACCAACTCACGGAATAAAAGTCAGTGTTGTTCTCCTTGTCTCTCATGGAACTACAGGAGACACCCCAGATAAGACAGCTGACCCTTAACAGGATAGGAAACCAGGAAATGCTCATGAACTGAACGCCTGTGGCTGCCCACCATGACAGGTTGTATATCATCCTAAAGACAAATCAGCTTCAACACAACTGGAGTGCCTGGGGCATTCAGTTCTACTCTCACGTTGATCAAAACATATAGGCTGTCCAGGCAAACCAGACAAATCTTATTATTCTGCTCAGAAGTACAAGGAACAACTGGTTAATCTCCCTGATCAAAATACACAGGAAGAAATTACTCCTTTATGAGACATTCCACTTGGGAGGGAAGACAGGAGGCAGCCTGGGGCAAGGTGAACATAAGAAAGGTCAGAGAGGCAGCTGACAGCACAGAGAATGGAGCCATATAAATAAAGGTGTGTCATGATGGTATGCACACAGACAATTGTATAAGAATATTTTATATATATATATATATATATATATATATATATATATATAATCTTTTGACATAAAAAGCAGATAGTGCATTAGTTTGACACAGTTTTTTCTACTCCCTTGCATGCCTGGAAACAAACAGATGGAATCTTTTATTGCCAAATTCTAATGCATTTCATGTTCATGCTCAGCATAGAAATATTTGGCTTGCCAAAAGCCAGTAAGTTGCTGATCGTTTAAGATATACATGGAGGAGTGACTATCAAAAGTCCCAGCTAGATACTGTGGCCCCACTGCAGCAAGGAAAACACTCTATTTAGGTGAATTTTTACAAAAAGCAGCAAGTATGTGGGTCCAAACATGTAAACTAAAGATGATCAATGTCCATAAAAAAATATTTACTTTTTCACTATAAAAAATACAGAAGCAAACCCCTAAGGGTAATAATTCATATCTGTTACTTGATAGGGCTCATTATGAGAACTGTAGCAATTAATGTTTATCCTAAAGGATAGTCAACAGAATAGCTATTATAGTCAGACATTAAGGCAACCTAGAAAATAAACCTCATAAAGGCTTTAGTCTATGTTATTCTAATACTTTTGGAAATTACTCCTTAAACACTAGAGCCCAAAACTCTTGAGTTGAAAAATTTTGATTCCTATCCACCAGCCACCTCAGTGCCTGGGCTTCTTTCTTGGACTGCTGGAAGCTTGGCATCCACATCTCTCGCAGGGAGTTCCTACGCGGAGCCAGAGTAACTGGAGATGAGAAAGCAAACGTGGTAGGTTCCGGGCAACTCAGGTGTGTAACTTCAGCCTTCCATTTTTTGGGGGGTAAACCCTGCAAGAGACAAGAGAAAAAGAACTTAAGACAGAATAAGGAAGCCCAATTTCCATGTTTCCATCTCATAATAATAGAACACAACACATACTCTCCCTAAAGCAAATATCTTCCCTAATGATGTCTCAATAGTTATACTGTTCAACAGTTGAAGGGGAAAGAAGGTATCTAATCCTTATGGAGACTACTCTGGGTACCACACACACAACTAGACAGCTGCATAGATTGTCTCATTTAATTCTTATGACAAGCAAATTAAATAAGTACCACTACCTTATTTTAGAGAGGTGGGAACTAGGGTTCCAAGAGTTGTAAAAACTGTCCCAAACAAATCTTGATATAACTAAAATGTAACCTAGTTCTCTCTAGATTCTAAAGAATTCTCCTTGCTTTTGTTATTATTTGTTACCTCAGTTATGTATTTAGTTCCCTTTACCTGAATGTCACTGCCACTATGATCCTCCCTGCTGCTATGAGCTTGGTCCGTGCCCTTTCCTGGTTTATTTCCATGGTCTCCTGACTAGTGATCCTCATTTTTCTTGATTCAGTGCTAGCCTATACTCAGCAGCTCTTTGCATTCCAAGTTTAAGACCAAGTTTTTTGATGCCCTACAAATTTAAGATTCGGTCCTCTAATAATTTTCTAAGAGAAAAGAAAGAAAGGAGAAAGAGAAAAAAAAGAAAAAAGAAGAAGGAGGAGGAGGAGGAAAGAGGGAGGAAGAAGGAAGAAGAAAGAAGGAAGAAGGGAGAAGGAGAAGAAGAAAGTGAAAGAGAGAGACTCCAGAATGTCAGCCTGAACGTACACACCTAATTTCATTTGCTTATTAAACACCATTAAAACAGGAGTAAAATGATTGTCTTTGGAAATTAAGAACCTGTAAGAATTGAGAGACGAGAAGATGGCAGAATTGTAGTAAAGTGTTGGGCACTAGAATAAACAGGTGGGACAGCAGTAAACAGTGCAGCAGCCGAAGTGTGAGATGCAAAGCAGCCTATTTTACACTGCAGAACCCCAAAGAATAAGAGGCAACAGATACCCCTGGAAGTGGAAGAGGGGCAACAAATTTAAAAGAATTAATAGAAAGTCTGATAAAGGTTTGAAAGACAAAGCTGGAAAATATTCAAAAACTAGAAGAAAAAGTATTTGAAGATTGGACCTCTGGGATCAGTTCAACACCAGACCACCAATCCATGAGATCCACTATGCAAATATCAAAAGTTCCAGCAAAGAGAGAGGAAAGGGAAGAAATGCCCAAGGAAATAATTCAAAGAAATTTCCCAAAGGTGGAAATCCTCACTTCCAGATATAAAATTCCCAGTGAGGGCCCAGCATGACCATCACAAGAATCTCTTGCCAAAGTGCATTTTTATGAAATTTCCAAAGAAAAAGATTCTATTGTTGTAGGGACAGATGAAGCAAGGCACCGAAGATAGCAGGACACTGTTTTATTTGGCCGCAGCCAGGTTCAGAGGGCACAGCTTTTGCTGTAATCAATCAATCCCCTGAACCCTGAGTTCAGGTAGTTTCAGAGTTTCATACCCAACATGTAAGGGGAGGGGCTCAGAAATTCACATTGTGCAGAAGTTCACATAAAAGCAGTTTTTTCTTTCACTGTTCTGGGCAAGTTAACCCTTCAAGGACAATACCTGAGAAGGGGAGAGCTTTTTCTCCCCCTTTCTTTCCTCCCCCTGCCAGCTGTTACCATGGAGCCCAAATGGCAACTTCTCTTCTCTTAGGAATGTAGACATCTCTGTGAAGCCCCAGCTCAAGGCCAAAGGCCTTGTTTGCACATTTCTACAAACTACTATACTGGATACATGTTTGTGAGAAACTAGTAAGGGGGTGTCCAGCACCTGGAGTGCTGATTTCTTCCTGGCCAGTGGCCAAGTAAAACAGGACAACACGAAAATAGGAAGTTTATCTACATTGGACTCTTTTGCTGACAGTCCTAAAATCAGCCATGGTGAAGATTTCCGGAGAGGCCCAGTTAAGTCTTTTCTGTGGAGAAAAGGGATGCCACTACACTACACCTCTCTGGTAGGACAAGCCTAATTCAAGGACCAGAAGTTAGGATGGTTTTGGATTTCCTGGTAGCAATACGGGAAGTTAAGAATCAATGGTGAGATTCACTGATGAATGCAAAGTTTAGTGAATAAAACTAAAACTATGGAGAAAAAGGATAGCTGCATATCTTCAAAATATTTCACCAAAAGTACTTTTAATTACTCTGGTGGTCTGGTACTTTTTACACATGTCCACTAATTATTTGTATTTCTCTCTTAAGGAGATAAAAGTTTAATTCCTCTCCCTTTGAATCTGGGCTGGACCTAGTGATTCATTAAGTGAAAAAAATGAAAGTCAGTTTTTCATAGTAGAAAAAACCAGTAGACACCAGCCTTAATAAAGTTAATACTACCAGTAATGTCATGTGGCTATCATGCAACCCGCTGAGATGAGATACAATGAGGATGTTTTCTCTTCTTTAGTATTATTTCCCAAAATCTATAACCCAAGTGTGAACTTGAGAAAGAAAACATTAGACAAACCACATGAAGGGCTATTTTATAGAATTATGACCAACACTGTTCAAAAGTCATTAAAAATAAGGAACGTAGAGATCACAGATTGAAGGAGACTAAGGACAGATGATGGCTAAATACAACCTAGAACCGGGATATGGTCCTGGAAGAGACAAAGTCTATTAGGAAAATATGATGAACAATGACTAAAGTTTATAGCTTAACCAAAATTAATTGTTGTTGAAAAATGTACCATGATTATGTAAAACATTAACATTAGAAGCCAGGTGAAGTGTACACAGAACTTGGAGCTTTCTTTTTAATCTTCTGTAAACAAATTATTTTTAAAAAAAGCTTTTGAAAGGCACTGCAAAATGCCTTCAAAATTCTTAGAAAATTGGTCTATTTTCATAGTTTACGCTCAAATTATTGCTTAAATGTTATAGTGGAATGAAGACATTTTTATATACTCTCCCAAATATCTCTTCATTGGAAGCTAGTAGAGCAGAACAGAATCGAGTAAGGAGAGCCCAAGGTGATTACCAAAAACAACTTTGAGAAGACATTGTTCATCTTTATTGACTGGTAAGTACAAAGGCAGTCAGGCAGTATCCTGCTAAACTGAAGAATCGGGTGCAAGCAGCTAAGAACTATGAAAGGGGAAGCTGGGGTTCAAAATAAAGAACCATGTAACTGTCCAAGCTGGCAAATGATAAAATAAGCTGTCTTAAAAATAATGAAATCACAAGGTGTGGTGGTGCATGCCTATACTCCCAGTGGCTCCAACAGCTGAGGCAGGAGGATAGTGAGTTCAAAGCCAGCCTCAGCAAAAGGTGCTAAGCAACTCAGTGAGACAGTCTCTAAATAAAATACAAAATAGGGCTGGGGATGTGGCTCAGTGGTCGAGTGTCCCCTAGTTCAATAACCAGTATCCCCAAAATAATAATAATAACAAAATCATCAGCACTAGAAAATTTTTAGCACAAATTAGGGCACAACTTGTTCACAATATTTGAATCATCAGTTAGCAGGCAGCTGTACTCATCACATAACCTTCAATGGCCTTCTCAATACGGACCCTGTCTAACTGTTTACATGAGACCATTGGAAATGACAGTCTATTTCATTTCCAGCCACTTGAGAAGACTCCACTCAACAGTGCAGGATAAGGTTCCGTCTGAAGGTGACATAACAGAGGAAAGAATCCTATAAAAAGGACTATTTCACTCCAACATTCTGCCAAAAATATTTCACAATATGACCTGAAGGAAGTGTGTTTGATGAAATCATTATGGCACTTTTAGAAATAACCAAGTTTGGGTATTCCTTTCTAGCTGAGATCTTGGGAAGAAAAACAAGCTATTTCTAAAATATGATTTTAAAAGATTTTCCTTCCAAAAAGAATATGGCTCCTTCTTCAACAATGAGGAAAGAAATCAGATAATCCTCAAATTCTGAACTTTTATTGAGTCTACTGGAGAACTGAATCCCAGAGTAAGAAACCCTTCCATGGAGAGTTGGATACATGATCTGCTTCACCTTTGGCAGAACACAGGAGAAAGCTGTGGTCACCATACAAACAGGTAATAAGAAATCAGGTAAAATTCTAACCCTTCCTTAAGTGTGAAGTATCGGCTACCCTGTCAGTTTGGCATAGCTGGGAGGGCCAGTTGCAAAAGGAAAGTTCTAACTCACTGAAGAGCTCGTTGCCATGCCTCTCATTCAATGCCAAGAAGGAAGATGAGGGTGGGGAGAAGACTGGAAAGGGCTCCCCACCTTGGTACAGTGCAGTGGCAGGAGGAAATCAACTTCTGCTTGGAAACATTCAATAAGTCTTCCCAACCTCCCCAGACCCTTCTTTGATAAAGTGAAAAAAGCCTTATGCCACTGAAGGAGTAGTAAGAAATCCTTCTGCCCCCAGATACAAGAGAAAAATCTATTATTTGCAGGGAATGGGGGGCGGGTCAAAGGAAAACTCCTCTCTCCTGGTTGGGAAAAAGTTCGAAACTATGTTGGGCCTAGGATCCTACAGTGATACCAGAGGTGACCTACACTGGTGAGGGACAAAAAACTCTCTCCCACCCAATCCAACCAAAAACACAAGACACTGTTTAGCTGCCATGGGAAGGAGAGGCTGGAACACTAGAAAGCTTCACCACTGAGACCTAGGGGTTGAGGGCCTGCCTAGACCTGGGGCTACCAACAAAAACCTGCCATACTGCCAATATGAACCTACCATGAAGTAACAGGAAACGGCTGTTACACAGCAAGAGGAGCGATGCAGGAATCAATAAAAGTTGAGAGTGGAGGATAAACACTGAGAAAAAAACTCTTTACTACTCCAGACCCCACTCTAAGCATGGGTAATAGCAAGGCTTAGTTACTAGATAAATGTTATTACTGAACAAATTTGAAGCCTGTGGAGTACTAAAGGTAATAACACAAATCTCAAATCTAGCTCAACTCCCTTACCCACTAACA